GGAAAGGTGCTCCGCTGTCGAACTCCACCCGCATCGTCCCCTTTCGAGGGTGGTGGATGCCATGGTGTGGGATATACCACAATCTCCCATCATCACGGGTTGGTTCCTCCGCAGATACTCGCTCAGCATATCCTTTGGAGACAAGATTGTCCACAAAGTCTGCATACTGCTGTCGGAAAGACACATCTCTCTTGAACCTCCTTCGAAGGTTTAGAGTACACTGCTTTGCGACTTTTCTGTTATTTGGCATACATTCTCTCAGGGGCAATGCAATCTGGTAATGTCCGTTCACAAGGCTCGCTGAATTTCCGACCAGCTTCATGAATTTTTGGCCCTTGACAAAGCAGGTTGCTCCTCGTGGCTGCATTCTGGAAAATAAGTTTTGAACTGTTGCTGCCAGAGCTTATCCAAGTTTGAAACCGAAACTCTATTGACTGTGACAATCTCAAATCCATCGCTGCGGTCTCCTACCAATGGTCCATTAACAGTCCACCCTAGAATTGTTTTGATGGCATAAGGTCCACCGTTCACGCTACGGATCACTTCTAATGGTTCCAAGGCCTATTCATTACGTTCTCAGTGCAGAAAACAGCAGTGCTTCCTTAACCTGTACTGGGACTATGGGAAGTTTACAATCTTCCTCACCAGCCCCAGTGAGGCCATTGGACATTAAGGCTCTGCCCACTGCCGTGCCTGGCTCTTGTTCAGTTTCAGATTTTGCTTGCTTCTCCTTAAACTGAATATGAAGCATTGTGGGGTTCTTCATACAACACACTTGGCATGTCAACCGTTTTTGACAATCTTTGCTGATATGTCCTGTACAGAAACAGGCAAAGCAAACACCATTTTCTTTTAAGAATGTGATCTTTTCTGTGCGAGTCTTCTCTTCCAGGTGAGGGCATGACTCTAGAGTATGTTCACCTTCACAAAACAGACACTGCTAAGGCAGTGTACCGTTTCCATTCCCGTGTTCCAATATTCCTATTTTCGACGGTGGTCGCAGTTGTAGCGAAAATACTTCCTTTGGGTTAGAGATGGCTCAATTCATACTTTTACTTATCAATCACACACAGGAAGTGGCAGACGGCCGCTACAGTAATGATGGGATTGGGTGAGGGAGAGCAGGGATTAGGAGACAAACATTTGGCCTAAAAACTAAGAGGTTATTAAACAAGCCATATTATGCTCTTTTACCACAAGTTGACATGGTTCTTTGTGGTCTGAATGAAAGGTCTAAAACACCATACTCCTCCGTAACTTGAGGCATGCAGACCTAGTTAAGTGACTAAAAATGTACAGAAGAAACAGAATAAGAAGAAGAGGAAGAGGACGAAGTGTAAAGCTTGGAAGAACAGTACTTGGAATGCTGAATCGCTTTAGTCTGGGACGTAAACTCACCATGAGAGAGTCGCCAGTAGAAAGTCAACTCGGATTAAACGTTTTGTGTGTCTGTTACTGTGTGAGTGATGACAAACCCAACGACAAGCTCTCTTCTTTTTGTTTAGCGTTAGTCTGGAAAATCGCGGTGGCAACATGACATCATTGAAATACATGACCCACATGTTTGTCTTCGTAAGTGTCCAATGTAACTTTGTGTTACTCATGTTCTATGCCTTCTCACCCAGACTCTTCAAGAAAAGGCCCTTGTTTATGCCGCTGTTGTCTTCTATGTGTTCCTCAACGTAATGCACCCGTCGGGGGAGAACTGTCTGGACTATCTGGAACCGGAACAATGGGTATATGTTGATTTTTTTCATTTATTCATATTTTTCTGTTTCAGCAGGTCACTGGCAAGATACAAAGTTGTGAGGGCAGATTGCTGTTATTGTAGAGAACAGAATATCTGTGCTCGCGTGTGCACATTTTAGGCTAGCAAAGAGAAAACCATACCAAGCAAACTAGACGATCTGGGGCTTTTTACTCCATTACAGCACAGAGGCAAATATTTAACTTTTTATTCCACTTGTTAACTTTTCAGGCCACACTGGCTAACGAAAGACATTATTACAGTACGTTCAGAGTGACTCTGTCCCTTAGCATGCAGCTGGTCAGGTATTCGGACGACGACGGAGACACATCTGTGTGCACGGAACAAGTGTCAGGATCCCGGGAGCATCGTCTCTGTCTCGGGACCGTTGTAACGGGGCAGCATGGAGTTCGGACAATTGGAATGAGCTGCAGCATAGTTGTTACTTTCGATGTTTCAATTGATTCCGTCTTATTACTTAGATTGCGTCTGCGGGTTCGAGGCCATTTTAATATTTTTTTTGTCATCTACCTCTATTAACCTTCCACGCTTTAGTTTTCGCTACTCAAAAAGCTTCAAACTTTTGGCAACAGGTTTTTCAATGTTGTTTTAAAAAGTGTTGCCGGATAAACGGAAGCAGGTGGAGTTAAGTTGGACAGTGGACCTCCATAGGCATTTGTCTTTAAAGGTGATGCTTTTCATTTTTTGTATCAGTGGATGTATATAACATGAAGTCATGCTCTGCTTGTGTGGTGCATTTCTTTTCACTATATTATAAAAACAGGTCAGCTCTTTCTTGAGTATTAAACTCCTTTTCTTCCCTTCTCAGGCCCAGGAACCCCCTGTGTTGTGTCTACAACTGTAGCTTGCAGTACTTGGTTGTCCATTACATGTCCCTCCTAGGACAGGTCTATAGTGGGGGTCGGCAAACTTTTTGACTCGTGGGCCACAATGGGTTGTAAAATTTGACGGAGGAGCCGGGCCAACAACAAATGGCTGAAGTGTTTGTGTGAGCTGATATAAATGACATGTGAAAAATCATTACATGAAAGGATTTGGATTTTAACAAATGGCAAAGGTGTAACAACTTCATGAGGACCAGGGATCTAAACGCAACACTTTGTTGTCTTTGTCTGTTTACTTGCAATGCTTTTGACATGGCCACCGGAAACTTCATGGTCCTTTACTGTTTCCACTGTGAAATTGCTTGTCCCAACAAAAGAGACCCCTTAACGTCCTACAATTGCAATACATTATTTTCTTGGCTTCAGAACCGGCAATGAGTTTATTATGTTAGACGTGTTTGGAGAAGCCTGTAACGGACCATCTCAGTCAGCCGAGGAAACGCTGCCTGCCGTCGCCAGAGAACAGAGCAGAAAGGTCCGCGTGGATCTCTGCTGGCCGACAGTCTGTTAAACGGGTCTTCATGTTTCTCTGAAGCACCGCGGCTTCAGCCCGCTAACAGTCAGCTAAACCGTGACAGCTGATCTAAACTAAGGAAGCCACATTCAAACTCGCCGAAGCGTAAAATAGTCGTCGCGGTCTGTAGTCGATGCACAAGAACCACCGATGCGAACGTGGGTTCTGGGTTCGTGGATGACATCATCACGACGCGTTAATATCCGTCGTACTTTGCCTGTCGGTTGTCTGTTAGCTGCATGCGAATTTAGGGGGAAAAAAGTATTGTGACTTTGTGACTTTGTCAACCACCCACATTTTCGACTTGATTGAGGAACAGCGTGAACAGACTGCTCTCCTGCGAGCTGAACTCAGCCGACTGATGGCATCCCAGGTTGAAGGAGCTGCCGGCCTAGCTGTTCCCCATCCCAAACCTAGTTTGTTTATAGTAACGCTGACAGAAAAAGATGACATTGAGGCTTACCTCCAAACCTTTGAGAGGACAGCAACTAGGGAGATGTGGGCCAGCTTACTAGCACCATTTCTGTCAGACTCAGCCCAAAAGACCTATCACGACCTGACTACTGAACAGGCGAAGAATTATGAGGTGCTGAAAAAGGAACTCCTGCGCCTCCATGGATTTAACCTGCTTAGCAAGGCACAAAGGCTCAATGATTGGACTTCCAATGCCACAGTCCCCCCGAGATCGCAAATGCATGATCTGATCAGGCTGGCGAAGAGACGGCTTATGGAGGAACCCCAGACACTCTCGCCCCTGGAGAAAGTGGTCATAGATAGATTTCTACCAGCCCTAAGTCAAAAAGTTAGCGGGCCAAGCCAACCCTCACAGTGCAGATCAGCTGGTGGAGTTGGTAGAGGGTCAACAGGTCGCTTTAGAGGTCCTGCGCAGCGGACAACCCCGGATGACCGAAACACCCCCTTGCCCAAAGGAGAGGAAAAGGATGGAGCAGCCTGCTGAGGCTAATGAGGGGGGAATGCCCGCAGGGGGCTTCCAGAGACGACCCCCTCTTGTGACGCTCTTCAGACAGCGTCAGAAGAGTCGATCACCGAAACCAGTATAACGGCCAATAAACTTAAAGGAAGAGCGTTTATTTGCCGTTATACTGTTTCGGTGATCAACTCTGACGTAGGACGCGCACGCGCGATTATCCTGATGACTGACATCTGGTTTAAACTAACGAGACGGTTTGAGTGCCGATCCGCCTTCAAGGAACCAAGATAGCCTGATGTCAATCATCTCGGTAATTTGAGCTGGATAATCGGACATTTGATCGACTTAGTTGAACCATGTACGAGGAACAGGGCCCTGCCCTTTATTCCAAGGGAGTGATAAACTAAACCAGCAGCTCAAATGAACCTGGGCCAAAGCAGGCGCAAGTTTTTCGATGTGTTGCTATGGTGATTTACCCAAACCTGCTTCAGGAAACCGAAAAGCCTAATCTACGTCATTTTATCCTGAAAATGATCCGGCTAACTCAGTTAGCCACGTACAAGGAACAGGGCCCCGGCTTCCCTCGGCCTCTGCAAGAAAACACCACTGCCCGGAACGGATTTAATCTCCCAATAAATGAACGCTTTTATCTAGGGCTTGGAAATACCAAAGATAATCTAGACTACGCTTCTTCAAGCAGCGGGACCCACCAGGAGCGGAACTCCTGAAGACGTCTCTGTCCCTCCCCGTGTGTTATGAGGTGTGGAGTGAGTGGGTGCAAGTGTCCATAGTGGAGTCACCTCAGCCGGGCCGAGGTGCTCACCAGAATCCGCTGCTCGTCCCCCTCGCCGAGGTCGGGTGATGGATCTCAATGAAGAAACATTTCAAAAAATCTTCCAAGGCTCAGTGCGAACTCGGTTTTATTTACTTCAGAACAAAAAATCTGATTATTACGAGTTAGGATAATAAAATGTCAAACAAAAGTGTTGAGAACCTAGAAAAGTGGACAAAAGTCCGGACTTGTTATTAAGGTAGATCTTAAATCTACAGCTTCTCTATCCCTGTCTCCAACAAAAATTCACCAACAACCCCCGTTCTCCGGTCGAACTGTCCACTTTATAATACCAGAAAGTCCCCAAAAAAGCATGGAGAGGGGAAAAATCACCTTCACAGCCTCTGAGGCCATAAACCACCCCTACCAAGTGTCCTGCTAGCACTTAGGCATCTCATCTCTTCGCAAAACTGCTCTCACTTCTGTCTCATAACGCAACACAAACATATCTCAATACAAACACATATACACACATATTTTGCATACAGTTTTAGATGGCATGCACATAGTAAAAATAAGAAAAACAATGAACACCTGCATATATATTGGTGTGTCAATAAGGATGACTTTATACCTCTTATAATGCCTACATAAAGCCTAGGTAAAACTACAGAGCATCTCTGTTATATGTACTCCATTATTGGCTAATTATATTTGATCAAAAAGTCTTTGGTCTTACATATAAGGTTAAACACATAGGCACTTTGGCTTTATATGCCCCGTCTTTCTTATCCTAAACTTTTAATGGTTCTTCGTCCTTTAAGGTTATATAACAACATTAACAATTTTGGATATCATGTCTGGTAACAGTAAGTAAAACTATGTTTATTTATGACAAAATTAATGTAGGTTGAAAGTGAACACTCTTATCTGAGAAAGAAAAAGCTCTTGGCATCAATTTCGTAACAAACAACACACAGTAACACAAATTAGAATTGTACAAGAAAACATCAGAAAAGTTGAACACCTAATGGCTAAATAGTGAACACTATTTTGTAAATAATTAAAATCTTGTTTGTCAGCTCTGACTCTTGATGGAAGAGTGACTGTTGAACTCTTCATTGATTAGCTATTTTTAGAAAAGCATACAATTTGAAAAAGTGTTGTCATTTCCACATAAAAAATACAATTGTAAAAATATCCCCTTAATATTTTACACCTTCTTTTCTTTCATTTCAATATTCATCTAAAAGAAATATAAATCGTCCTAATAACAAACCAATAATTTGTTAGATGTAGTTTTCTGTGTTTCAGGTAAGTTTAGTACTAATGTTACACAGGAAACCCCAATTTTTATGATTACGTAATTATAAACAGGTACCGTTTCATTCATTTTGGAACAACTTCATTGTGATTTCTGTTATTGCTGCACTCTTTCAATGAATTAAAAAACGTGTATTTCTTTTGAACAGATTTGGCTCTATCTGTTACTCGAGTAGAGCTTGGTTGTTTCTGATTCACTAAGAAGTTTTACAATTTATCCACACTGTCAATAGCTTCTTGATCTGTGTGACTTTTCCAAGCACTGGGAATTGTTCCTCTTTCCTTGAACTTCATGTTGTAGTGGGCCTCCAGTTGCTTTTGAAAATTGCAGACAAACCATTTCCAGTATGCCAGTTTAGACTCATCAGGAGTAATTTCCCATGAAGCGAATTTCTCCCCACCCTTGTAATACTCTTTATAAGGAATGCTGACTTCTGAATGACCGGGCAAGAAACTTCCATCACTAGCAACTAATGTTGTACAGAAATCATTGACCAGGTTCTTTGTGCCTTTACAGTGAAATCCTGTAATCCCAGAGGGGCGATGGAAAGTGACTTTATGTTTGTCAGGACTGTGATCTTTGAGTGTGTTGGTACAAACAGCTGCACAGAATGGACACTTTACCCAGCAGCAGTTACAAAGCTGATCAATGAGGATTTGATCAGGCTTCATCCTGGATTTGTCCATTTCATCCAGTGAGAGGCTTCTCAGCTGCTTTACGATGGATCCAAGACCTTTCTCTATCTCTTCTTTGAGAAAGTCAAAACTGTTCAAGTCACTGAAGTTTTTACAGCAGATGTTGTTGAATGTTAGCTTAGCTTGTAGCAAACTGGAAAATTCCTCCATCCACATGCCTGTGTCTCCTCCGTTGGTTTTGACTTTCTCTGTTGCATTATATAAATCTAGACTCACAAGATTTTGGATGTCGTCCAAATTTTTCTGGAGTATTTTCATGCCCGTCTCTTTTCCCTCTTTTGTGGAGATGTAGTTCTGTACTTCTTCTCTTATATACGTCTCTGTGTGGTCCCTCGGTTGATGGATGTAGATAATAAAACTATTGAAGTCCCCTTTCTTTGCAAGTGACTTCAACATGTGTTTCTCCAAGTCTGACCTGTTCCCATTGAATGCTGGGTAATTGCTCTTCATGGTATCAGTTAGATCTTTGGCGACCTTGTTACAGACGGCCTCGACAATGGCACTCTTCAGCTTGTCACAGATCAGTTCTCCAAGCACAACAGCAGATGAGCTTCCTTTGCAGAAGTTTCGGAAAACTCTGTAAAATTGCATTTCCTTACTGTTTACATAAGACTGTGCATCATTGTTCACTTTGAACTCCTTGTGGGATTCTGAAATCCAGGTCCATGCTCTGTCAAATATATACAGCGAGAGATCAACTGTGAACTCCTTCTTTAGAGCATATTTCTTCTTTGATTCAAAGTCAGTCACTTTTTGTTTTACAGTGTTGGCAGCTTCTTGCAGGTAAGTTAAACTGTAGCCGGTTGAAGCAACAGGTCTTTGCTTGATTTGGATTATGGTCTGTTTTTCAACATCGTCAATCAGGGATCTGATCAGTGGCTGTTCTTCACTTGGAAAGTCACTCTGTCTGACCCCATTTGTGATACCCTCCGTTGAGGACTGTTTGGATAGACACACATAATGAGAATAATCACCAGCATGTGACATTGTTTTGTACTTGCCAATTTTGCATTCATTAACAAGAGACCATTCAAAACCCAGGTCCTGAAGGACAGTTGACTGATCCTCGTCATAGTTGATGTCCTCAATAGGTTTTGTACCTGCAGTTAGTTGTTTAACTAAGTCACTCCAAACAGAGTTGAACTGCTCTTTAAGTACCTGTTCATCTCTTGTCTTGTCCTTTAACTTATGAGCGAGTTCTTTGCTCTTTTGCAGCAGGTTGTTCTCAAACTCTGCCTTCTTGTCATAAAGCTTTTTACAAGCCTTTTTCTGCTGGATGACTTCATCCAGTTTTCTTTTCACTCCTTTCACTAGTTCATCACGAAACTCTTTGATTTTGTCTTCAAATCGACCTCGCCACTGAACCAACATGTCTTTTTCTCTGTCATCATCAAAGTATTTTGTCATTTCTTTTTGGATTTCTTCATAGGTTTTGTTCAATTTTTGATGAAGGTAAGTGAGTTCAACCGCTTCACGTTTTCCATTTTTAATTTCGGGATGAAGCTCGTTGTCAATGGTCAGCATGTTGCTCCTCAGTATCCAGGTCCAGTTCCCATACTTAACCTCAAGTTTTCTGTACACTGCAATTTCACGTGTGTTTTTGAAACTGAAAACAAACTGTTCGTTCATCAGGGCTTTCCACAGGTCCTGAATTTTGCTTTTGAACTGTGACAGAGTGATCCCAGCACAGTCTTTAGCTTTGGAGAGGATGATGGTCTTCAGCTCTTGGACACTCTCACTATAACCTGGATTTGGAGGAGCCATAGGTGGACTTCCCTCCCAAAGCTGGGCAAAGTATTTCACATCTTTCTGTACATCAAATGCAATGACGTCACTGAATAACTGTGCATCACAAACCTCCTCTTCGGCTGCTAGTTTGGCCATTTCGTCCAGTTTTTCTTCCAGCCGTCTGTTTCCATCCATGTTTTTCTCTGCTGCACCAATATCTGTAACATTCTGGTGAACAAACACACAACTTGGAGAAAGTTTAATCTTCTTCATCCTCATGAAAGCCTGAACAACAATCTGCAGAACATCTTGCATATCAGCTAGATTCTCTCCATTGATGTTGATCAGTGTCATGTTACCCAGACCAACAACAAATGTTGCCAGTACATTATCGTGATGAAGATTGGCATTACCTTCCAACTCAGGAGCACGCAGTCCTTCAGTGTCCACCACTAGTACGTAGTCAAACTTAAAGTCTTTCTTCATCTCCTCGGACACTTCGGCCAGCTGCATGAAGGCACCCTTGGTGCACCTGCCAGCACTCACTGCAAACTGTAACCCAAATATGGCGTTCAGCATTGTTGATTTTCCACTGCTTTGTAAGCCTAACACTGACAGAACAAAGACTCTCTTGTCACCCAGTTTGTTGATGACTTCCTCTAAAAGACCGGAGATCCATGTTAGAGGTGCATGACCTGCATCACCATCCATCAGCTCCATTGGGTGTCCTGATATCATCAGCTCTGCAGCCAGCTCAGGGTATTTAGACCAGTCAGTTGGTCCACTCTTTGTGGGTTTGTGCAGAGATTTATGGGCTTCATAGATCTGTCCCATTTCTCTGAAGATGTGCTCCAAGCCAAACGTTGCTGACTGTAGTTTTGTTGATATTTCATTAAGCTCATTTTGCTTTTTTTTCAAAAGTTCAATTTCATCATGCGTCTTCTTCGAGGCCAAGACCTCAGCCCACTTTGTAGTATAGGTTTGGAGAATTGAAGAGAGATCGTCTGTGGAGAGGGCATCTATTAAGATCTGAGTCCATTTCAAGAAATAATCTTTTTCATTTCCAGACAAAGTTGAGAGGCTTTCGATGAACATTTTCATTGGTTCACTGCAAGAAACATTAACTTGTTCTTGTCGTTTTTTCATCAGTTCCTGTTCCTTTTGAACTTTGTCATCCTCAATGTTTCCTTTGAGGCGATACAGTTCTTTGTGGATTTTGCTCCATTCCTTCCACAGTTGACCTTGACAAGGGAGATATGTATCTTTGATCTTTGAAACTTCTTTCTCTTGAAGCAAGTTTACAATTTTCATTGCTGCAGATTTCCCTTTTTGGCAGACTGTGTCTTCTTCATCCACTTTGATTCCACAAACTTTATTCATGGATTCAAGCTGGAAGAGTGAATGAGATCCAGACATAATCTTCCCAATAGTTTCTCTCAGTTCTTCAGAAACATCTGACTGGCTTCTTTTGTTTAAACCCATTTTGTATTTTCCCTTTTTCTTTTCAACACCATCACTATCAGCAATGAGACAAATGAGAGGTTTTTCACACTTGTAAAGGGCCGAGATCACTGCACTGCTTTTGTCATTTTTTTCCAGAGTTTCAACGAGTACCACAACGACGGAAGATTTGTCAGTCAGTATTTCACGCTGTTTTTCAAACGACAGAGCGTCACCATGAAGATTACAGAAGGCGACGCAGTCAGTGAAGGCATCGTTGGGTTTCCCAGCGGGGCAGTACCAGGCAATCTCTGCAACACCATCCATCAGGTGGCGAGACTTGGTGCTACCTGGGCAGTTTCTGTGGAAGAAGGTGTTGTGACGATCGTTGATCAAAGTGTTCATCAGCTGAGATTTAGACACAGATGGTGAACCCAAGCGGAGGAATGAGACCATGGGTGTCTCAGCTTTGCAGATGGGCATACTCTTCATGGTGACCACGTTTGAGTCACCTTTCCTTTCAGTTATCTTCCAAGTTTTTCTTATTTGTCTGAATGTCCACAGAGGACATTCAATATCCATTGTTTCTGGGTCAGGAACAAGCAACGGTAAGGCATACTGACACTGGGAGAGCTTTGTAATCATGTTCTGCTTTAAAAAGCTGTCTGAGCAGTGAAACACTGCCATCTGAACATCCATTGGATGCACGGGAGTCTGGAGATTAGATCGATCAAAGTCATCATTGGGGCTGTACAAGTCATTTAAGTCATCATCCTCAGTATCATCAGTGACATTCTCTTTAACAGGGGTTGAATGGTTTAACTCTGGATTTTCTTCTTTTGTAGGAATATATCTGGCTCTGTAGTCTAACATCCACAACCTCTGGAGAAAAATATAGGCTACATCTTTCTCATCTACGTCAACGTTCTGTTTCACAGGTGGACATACTTTTGATAGATTAGTTGGTGAAAACTTTCTCTCAAGTTTTTCTTGGAGGTGAAGTCTGCCAAACAGTGTTTGATGTTGTTTCTTCCTGTTCATCCCGTCAGAAAACTCCTCTGACTTCTGAAGAAAGTCAATATTTTATGTAAAAAATTAGAACCACTTTGGGCTATGAAATAATAAGGATTAATTTTGAGTTTCTTACCATATCCATGTTTTCACTCATATCCATATCAAAAAGATACCTGGTGTGAGTAAAAGGCTGTATTGTAAAACAGGAAATGTGCTGTTAAACAAATCTGTTTTTATTTATATTGATCATTTTCCCTAATAAGCAATTACTTTTTCCTGTTACGGTATTATTCATTAAAAAATTACCTTTCTCGTTGGCAGCAGATTTTCCAGACTTCATGTCAGAGTTCACTTCAATATTAACAGGTGATTTTCACTGGATCACACTGAGAAAACAAATAATGGGGATTAAGGGTGTTTATAGAATCTAATCTACAAATGCAGCAAACTGCAATCCTCAGCAATAACTTGATTTAAAGAGAGGTATCATTAATAAATACTAGAGCTGTAAATATATTTTAAAAAAATTAACTAATTAATTGCACATTTTTAAATGTTTTTTTTTTGTTTTGACAAACTTGTGGTCCTCTGCAGGGTAAATATTGAGAGTTTTTTCTAACCACTGCACTCCTGAATTATGACTGTTAAACTGATCATTTGGTATCAGCATGAGAAAGGCATACATATCTTGATTTGAAGGGAATTTATAGTAAGATGTTTTTTGGTCCAATCTCAAAGGAGTTTGTTTCACCGATTAACACAGGGTTTAAGGCCTTATAGGGGGCATTGGGATTGAGCTAAACTCTTCGCTGGGACCACTGAAGGTATCAATTAGTGTCTATGTCAAACGGTTCATGAGTTCTTAAAGGGGCCCAGCTGACCTGGAGGTGGGGGGGAAAAGCCTCACTGATTAGAAAGGTCAAGAGTGCAATGAAGCCCCCCACAAGACAAACAAGTGATGTGAATTTGAAGATGTGGACCCCTATCTTATCCAACACTGCTTGAGTTTCAATCTCTTCTCTCCTCTTTTTCTGCTTCTATCTCCGCTGACAAAAGCTCTTTCTACCAATCCAGAATTGAATCTTCATTTTCTAAACCCCAAAAACTCTTTTCTGTCCACCTTTGGCTTGGATTCAAAGTACTGACTCCTCACTCATTTTGACATGGTGTCAACGAGGGATAAATCTATCGCCTGTGAGTTCTACGTGATTTTTTGTCTCGAGCAGAGCGGACAATTAAGCTAACGTCTCAACTAAAGGAATAATGGCGGATGGATTTCGCAGACCAGACCCCCTCGTTTTTGACGGGAATATTGCCGACTTTTGAACAGGAATATGATGTCTTCATAGCAGCGGCGCACTCGGACAAGACTGATAGGACAGAGGCATATAGACAAGTTTCCCGGGCACTTCCGGTTTACGTCCTGTTTCTGCCAAGAACTTCCGGCGCAGGCTGAGTAGTGGTGTAAAAATGGCTTTGGAATGGCAACATTCGACCGAAAATCTTGTTAAAAATGGTGTTTGGACCATTCCGCATCCAAGTAAGGTAATATCATGGGCAGACAACATGTCGATTTGGCCCAGCATCACAACATTCAAGATCTTTTCTTATTTTATTGATTCCATGGCGGTGGATCGGAATGCAATTAATAACCTGAAAAGCTCAGAGGCGTTTCAGTACCTCCATTCCGACAAAGTGGGCTGTGTACTTTTACACGATATGGGCATATAAAAGCCGATGTTCAACCAAGCCAGTCCGTTAACAATTCAGCGCATAACGCCTGGGTTTTGGTTACCAAGACGGGAGATGTGGAGACTGCAGGCTGTACCTGTAGCCATGCAGCCTTTGCAAAGCAGCGCTTTGGAAGGTACGTTAGCCCATCTTATCCTTGTATTAAGATGTTTGTATGTATCCGTGTGTTAATATATAACAGAACACGAAGAGTAATAAAAAGAAAAAGTAATCCCCTCTAGCCTGCCTGCACTAAAAGCATGCTTTAACCCTTCAAAGTCGACTGACGAGCGTCAAAGTGCGCACCCCTGACATATCTATTAATAGCTTCGGAATGTATAAAGGTATTAACTTACTTTTTTCTTCTATGAAAAAGCTGACATTCGTCTGCGTAATAATTAGTAGACTGTGTTGACTTCCGCGAATGATAAGCCTTCCGTATTTGAGTGCAAATCTATAGCATTTTACTCACTTGTATATGGTCGAAACATTCTCCTTCCGACCAAATATTCAGCAATCGCCACGAGTTGTTGCAACCATGAACAGCACAATATGTCCCGGAGCCGTGTCGGCGTGTAACACCATCCATAGTTTACTTTTTCTGCACGCTAACCAAAGACCGTAAAAGACGCTAACTCGCTAACCGGAAGTGCTTTGCAGACACAACCGGAAGTTGTTGGCAGAGTGAAAGGCGAATGGCGGTCCGCCTATTTCACTCGGGAAACTTGTCTATATCCTCCTCAATCTCGCAGCAGCGGAGGCCGGGAGCGTTCATTTGTTTACGCAGCAGAGGTGAGTGTGCCAGGTGAAGATGGAGTCGTCATCGTTCCGGCTGAATCCAGAGAAAATCCGGAGTGCTTGAAACGGAAATTTATGTATGCAACCCTCAACAAAACAAAACAATTTTTGGTTGGGCCAATTTTGTTGGAGAGAGCATTGAGAGCCATGTGTTCCATTTTTGTTTCATTTTGTTCAGTTAGCTTGGTAGCTAAATTTGGTTAGCAATTCACACCGGGCCTTTTCTGGTTTTTTTGTTCCGGTGGGAGTCCTCTCCTGTTGAGGCTTATCAGCGAGTGTCAATAGGAGGCTCGTGGTGTTTCTGTTTTAGGTGGCAGTGAACGTGGGCAGAGCTTCCCTTTCCCTTTTCCCCGACATCGGCTCTTGAGCACGTCCGTGGATATGGGGGGCCGCCAGTTTCTGGTTGTCTTTTCATTCCACTGGTTTTGTGTGCATAAAACCCCACCATATGTGACTGCACGAAGACCAGGGGCCAGTTAGTTGTTTTTGGAGGATAGTGGGGTGTGGCTCTTGTCCTTAAAACCCAGATTGGCAGCAGGTGAATTGTGTGGCATTTGTAATCGTTGTATTAGTTGAGGAAAATGTCTTCCGTTTTGAGAAATTTTGTTCAAGTTCCTTCAGAGTTAGCTTTAGAGTCGTGTACTAAGGAGCAGTTAATTGTATTTCAATTAACTGCTCCTTAGTACACGGCTGAGCATTATCAGATTGAGATTGTTGATAGAAAACTTAGAGACTGTGAAAGGTGGATTAAAGCAAGGTCTGTTCTTAAAGCAAGTAGGTGTTCTTTGTGGTAACTATTGACCAGCAAAGGGAGCTGTTGCAACTGCAGTTGGAGATAGCGCGATTGCGAAATTCCAATAGACCAGAAGAAGGACCACCACAATTTGATGTTTTGCAGAATCTTCGTTTGTTGCCTAAATTTGATGAGTCAGATTGGGTTCTGGGGAACCTCAAGCAACAGTTAATGCTAATACCTGTCACTACTGTTTAGTTGAAGGACATTGGAAGAAAGATTGTCCTATACTTAAATCAAAGAAGTCAGGTCAAGTTAAACCTGCTGTGATGGCTGTTGCAGCCTATGACTACCAGGGTGAGTTTTTTCAGCCACTAGTTGAGTTTTGTTCTCAGTCTTCCCACTGATTTTTCAGCCTTTATTTCAGACGTTGTGGTGTCCCTGGTAGATGTCAACCAAAATGTTCCAATTAAGATTTTAGGAGACACTGGAGCTTTAGATTATTTTATTCTGGAATCTGTTTTGCTGTTCTCTAAGGAGTTTGATACTGGCAGTTGTGTAATGGTACGTGTCATGGATTTAGTCCCATTCTCTTCTCCTTTACATGAAGTTACCCTGAAATGTAGTCTGGTAGAGGGTGATGTAGTTGTTGTGGTTAGACCCCAGTTGCCAGTAGAGGGAGTCCACATGATTTTGGGGAATGACTTGGCAGGTAGTAAGGTGTGGGCAGATGGCAACCTAAACATCTTTAAGAAGCAACCTTCAGCGGTCCCTGCAAGTGTATCTCCAGATTTCAGCAGTGTGTCTCCTGAGGTATTTCCAGTTTGTGCTGTTACCCGTGCTGCCTCTCGTAAGGAAGTTGAGAGTAAGCCAGGGAGTCTTGAGTTGCCAGTTTAACTCCAGATAGAACAGTTGACTAGTTCTAGAGATTTATTGATGGCTGAGCAAAAGGCAGATGCTACTGTAGCAGTAGGAGTAGACTCCTAATCACCGTATGCCCGCGGGACCAATCAGAGCGCAGGGACCGGTATAAACAAACCACAGTAGTCTCCTCCCTCCTATTGCCCTCTTGGCCAGGTGACGGAACTGTGTCAGTCTTCCGCGTCATTCACCCTGCATGGTTGTTCGGCGCTGCTACAGGTAAGGTGGTGAACTGGCTGTCTCCGCGCACTTTACCTCGTTACTGCCGTCAGCTGCCTTTTATATCTCGTATGTGATCCCCATAGATCCCCGGCTGTCGGAGCCGCGTAGCTCCCTAACATAGAGCGACCGCCACGAAGCTTGCCGAGCGGCGTGATCGCCCGAGCTGTCTCCTTCACAGCGACGTCAGTAACTTGTGCAATTGGGACTGGGCGGTCGTACCGGAGGATCTTGGCCACCGTTAGCAGTCCAACTAGCTGCTGTTTTGCCTATACGCCTTCTACCTCGGTTTGCGTACATGTGTTTTTTTGGACTGCGTTGCCTTAATTGTTTTGGGCCGGACCGCCTACACCGTTTTGCTCGGACGGCTTTACCCGGATGAACAATTTTAGCGTGACGTTTGATCTTCCCCTTCCCCTTGACTTATTGGGTCGACGGAGTTATCTTGTTTTCTTTATTGTTTAGTTTGTTCTGTATTTTTGTTTCTTTATAACCGGGTGAGTGAACCCGGTTGTATGTACGCGTGTTTAACGTTTTGTTGCTTCTTTATTCTTTTTAGAGCTGAACGCCGAAGGTCGTGGTGTGGTGTCCCGGTGGTGGTATCGCCACAGCTCGTTTGCTGTGGTCTTTCGTTTTCATTTGTTTTGCTGTGCTCACTATTTTGTTTTTGTGTTCACGAGTGTCTTCTCTTGAAACCTCCCCCGCTGCCCTTGTGTCCCCTCCACAACCAATGGTAAGCCTCAGCATTCATTATTTTGTTTATTATTTTGACCATTATTACCCCCATTAATTCCCCTTTTGTTGTGGAGATTGTGAGCGTGTTTTAAATTGTTTTATGGATCTTGGTATTTTATTGTAATAAACTTATAACCCCTTTTTGTACATTGGACCACGTCTTTGGCATCTTTTGTGATACTTACCTGCGTGACCTTATTAGTTAGTATTCCCTGGGTGAAATTCCCAGGGTGGCGTTGCTGGTCCCTGTTCTGCCACAAGGTGGCACTGTAGTTAAATTGCCATAACTTGGCACGATTATGTAATCTCGTGCCGCCACACTACTTTGGCCGATCTCTTTGATAAAGTTGTTCCTGATTCAGTGGTGAGAAATACTGCTCAGTGTTATTTTCTTCTTGATGGGCTGTTGGTCAGGAAAGGGGTTCCATACTGTGACCGGGGTTTAGGAGAACCAGTATTTCAAATAGTGGTACCTACTACTTTGCGAGATAAAGTGTTGCAAATTTCACATGGTGACGTGGCAGGCCATATGGGGGTTCGTAAAACTTATGATCGCATACTCAGTTATTTTTTTTGGCCACGTTTAAAGCGGGATGTAGCTCAGTTCATTAAACATAACCAGTAGTCGAGGTGCAAGCAGCCAGTTGAATGGTGAATTTATACATTTGTGAATCTGACTTTGAAAGAGTCAGTGCCTCCCAGCCACTAACCTCACCGCACGTCACTGATAATAGTGAGTGTCCTAATGTTCCTAATAATCTTTACAATCACTTAAATAAAAGTGAACATAAGAGCGCTTTTTAACAACAAAGCATTTGACTCGGAGGACCAACTGCAATGAGACTCACAGGTCACAATATCAATGGCAAGAACTGTCAACGATGAATACATGCAACAATATATAAATGGCGCCTGGCCATGCAACGCTCTAAACATGATTAAAAGCATCATGAACTGGATTCAAAACTAACTCCAATGTGAAATACATTATATAGACCAAATCAATATTTTCAAGCGAGCATAAGTTTGCTAATTCTTATCATTTTGTCTCATTAATCAAGCATTACACCATACACCAGGGGTCTCAAACAACGGGGGGTACCAACTTTGGCGTACTCCTTCCCCCCGTCGACCGTACCGTTCGCCGGTCGTACCATGTAGGATATTAGAAATAAACTGATGACCCGGTTCATAAATTAATAAAATGCATTTAGTGAACACCAGACTACAGCCATGATTCTGGAACTATGTAATCAATAAAGTAAAGCTAATGTTAAAACTGTAATTAAAGTACAATCACAACTCGGTAATTGCCTCCAATTTTAACAAAAGAGAACGTAGAGCATTTAAATCTACATTGGACAAACTTGTTTCTGTTCACACTTCCCACTGGAGCACTAAACCAATGTGTCTCATATCCTTAGAAGCCGTAGCACTTATTAAAAGTTCCGTAGTAAAAAGCCATTATGAGGCACAATTTGAGGAACAAATTGGCCCAGACTCCATTCACGGCCAAGTTTAACATCCTGGCAGGACAAACTAGAGCTCAATACTGGAGTGGATATATATATATATATATTCTATAAAGCTGTTCAATTGTTAAAATGTGTTTTTATTTATAATTGGCTAAGATTGCCGAGTCGAAATGTGAAAACGTAAAGGGAAAAATGAAGCTCTTCTTTTTATTGAATTGAAGCACTTTATTTGAACATGAACAATTGTATTTATTTACTCGTATTTTGAAATGCAGCCCTACTTTTATTTACTTAATGTGAGAACATTATTAGACTTACATGTATGTTCAGTTCTTTGTTAAAGGCAGATGTTGATACAACTCTATTTCTCTATTTAATCACACTGAATAGTGTTCCAGCGTTCTGTGTAATGGCGTCTCCGAGCAGTAAAAACGTTGAGTTTTTATACACTTGAAGAGAGTTCTTAGCGCCAGTCACGAGAAGCCACAAATGAAGTTCAGATAAGAACTCAGGTGAAGCTGAGGGTAACACAATGCTCCTCTAAACGAAGGTCTGTGAGAGCAAGATGACCCCCTTCTCAAAACACAGCTGCAAACCCTAAATCTTTCTATCTCTCCATCTCAGGATCAACCACTGTGACCTGGCTTGTAGCACCGGACAAATGTTTACAACATGTTTTACCACTACATGCATCTCACAATAGTCACATTATGATCTTCAGCACCTTGGTTCTTGCTTTAAATAAATAAATAATTAAGTAAATTAATTTCACAAACAGATGCATCATATGCTATAACTCATTCATTTGTATAAACTATAAACTACTATAATTATTTTGTGTCACCTTACCTTTGCATGGTCTGTGGAGGTGTGGATGCCGTGTCAGTGTGCAGGTCCTATTTATTGAGAAAGACATCAGAAGGCTGTAGAACTTGTTTTTCCTCCACATACCCCTCCCGCCTTTTAAAAAGATGTCATAGTTATAACAATCTGAGAGCTCTGCAGGAAGTTTGATAGTTAATCAGTGAAGTGAAATACCAAAGATCAAGTCCAACTGGCCTAACCTGTCATATACGATAAAACCATGTGCCTTCAAGAAAAAAGGTGTACGTTTTTATCGGGCACAGGAAATTTTAGTGAAGCACAAACTACTGTTACACTGAACAACGAGACAACAAAACCTTAAACTGTTTGAGTACAGCTCTTTATCATGATATTCTTCATGCATGTTATTTTTAAATGAGAAACAACATTTCAAAAGCCATTCACAATGAGATATTATATATAGATTAGGGCTGTCATCATAAACACATTAATCTATGTGATAAATGTGGCCGAATTCATGCAACAAAGTATTTTAATGTAGTTAATGTACATTTGTTTACTTTCGGGACTGGAAGTAAACCGGAAGTTGAAGCGGAAACGAAGCGGCCGCTAGCTGCAGTAAGTTACATCAAGATGGAGAGAGCTTTTTGCATCGGAAGTCAAATAAAACAGGCCCGATATACAGCAGAGAACTGTGCAGAGGAATTACTCCACGTGTCAAACCGAAGGGGGGCATACGGACAACTTAAGGAACTGCTCTGCTAGGCTAAGCTAGCTGCAAAGCTACTTCCATCTCAACATCTAATGTTACCCTGCGCGACAGTCTGCAGAGGACCACCACTGTGTCCTGTGAGATGCATGTAGTGGTAAAACATGTTGTAAACATTTGTCTGGTGCTAAAAAGCCAGGTCTCAAGTGTTTGACCCTGATGTGTAGAGACAGAGAGATTTAGGGTTTGCAGCTGTGTCTGGAGAAGGGGGTTAACTTGCTCTCACAGACCACCGATCAAAGGAGCATTGTGTGCTACCCTCAGCTTCACCTGAGTTCTTATCTCAACGTGATTTGTGGCTTCTCGTAACTGGCACTAAGGACGGTCTTCATGTGTATAAAAACTCAGCGTTTTTACTGCTCGGAGACGCCATTACTCAGAACGCTGGAATACGTGCTGGTGTGTTTGACCTCCTGCTTGCAAGCAATAGTTAGAGACAGATATCTGCGGAGAATTGCTCGTCATCTTTTTCTCTAAATAAATGTTAACTTTTTGACTTTATTGATCAACGTGCTGGATCCTTCTCATCAACCAACTCGGGGGATCGGAGATCCGGACAGTCCCTAAAAGACTGGTTTATAAACGTCCTGACTAAATTTGGGGAGATTGTTGGCACTTCAAACACAGCCGTTAAATCATGGCGAGTTGAAAGCAAAGTCTACGAGGACAACAGAAAGAGTCGCTAGTTCAACATGTTCCACCCAGTGGAATTCTGTCTCCAGGATGATCAAATGTGTGTACTTTTGTGTTTAAAATTACATTAACAATTAAACAAGTTTCTAAGATACACACGTTCTTAAGTGATTACTCTTTACTTTTAAGATTTAGTCTTTAGAAGAAAAACAAACATTCATTACAAAATAACATTACAACAACAATTCGCCATTAATGAATTTCAACTAGTAATTTCTTTTTTAATTAAAATATATGTATATATAAATATATATATTAAGATGCCCCTTTGAACCTAGTTTATTGGGGAAACACCTAGGGCATACTGTGAGCATACTGTGTACTATTGTCAATAATTTATATATTATTCATAGTTTGACGTTTAAAAGTTTGAATCTAAAGCCAAGTGTTTTGTATTTATTGTTTATTTTAAACAGTTATGTTGTTCAATTTGAAAAAAGAAATGTACCTTGGTTTAACTGCCATGAATGTATTTTGTGTCATTTGTATGATGTCCTGATGCACTTGTTTATTTGTTTGTGGGTTCTCAGGAATATTTGTTTGTTTGGTTTGGGAGGTGGGAACTATGTTTGCTGGGTTGGTTTTGGGGGAACATGTTTTGGTGTCGCACAGCCAAGAAGCATGCGAAGAAAGTAAGGTCTTATCTCAGCAAAAGATAATAATGTTAAGATGTAGGTCTCACAAGGTAGTTCCTCAGCTAAAGCGTTATCATTCCCTCTCGGTCGTGTGCAGCCAGTGAGATCCACCGTGGATGCCGGCGTGGACAAGCGGAATAAAACCATCAGTACGATTCGTGGTCTCGTGTATTTCCTGGAGGGAGTGACAGTCAAACTAAGACCTGTGTGAACCGTTCCCGACCTGCTCGTCAAGACGGATCATAACCAACTTATACGTTAAAGGACACAAGTTCACCTGCTTGTCAGATGTCCATAAGTCAGAAACGGAAGTGTGCTCTGAAAGGACAAAAGGGTACCACCACGAGCTGTGTGATAGCCAATTAACATAACGGTGTTTTATCAGGTATGAACGAGCACGTACTTAAGTGAGTGTTACAGCTGAACTTTTGAATTTGAAAAGAGTATTCATTTTCTTAAAGAATTTTGTGTGTGCACCTAAGAAAGGTAGCACTTTGACAGGAGTAATATCTGTGATATCTGCAAGCTTTATAATGCCTAGTTTACTTTAAAAGGTTAAGTTAAAGGAAAGTAACATAACATTTTATTTTTGGGTATTTGGTAAATGCTTGTTGTCGTACAAAGGGAAGTTCAGCCAGAAGAGGCGAAAGAGCCCGCACATTAACATAAAAAGGAAGAGAATTTCAAAAAGAAAAAACCAAAGAGCTACTACTTCGCTTCGACAGTATCTATAAACGTTGGAAAGCTTTAACTAA